GCCCGCGACCGCCTCCCCGGATGCGCCGCGCGCGCCTCCTTCCGGCCCCTGCGCCGCCGCGGAGTCGCCGCGGGGGCGACCGCCGGCGGCGAGGCGACCGCCGCCGTGTCGGCGGTCGCCGCGACCGCCAAGAGGGATCCGTAAGCGCCCCTCCCCTCCGCAATGCGGTCTCCGTTTCTGATACTTCGCGCATGAATCCCGTCTTGCCGCGCCCGGTGTCCCCCGCTGCGCGCGTTACTCGTTTGAGCTGACTTTTGATGGGAGTTGCTAGCCGGGATTGCAGGGTGCGGCGCCACACGATTTCCGTGTTCGTCGGGGACGAGAGCGGCATGATAAACAGGATTGCCGGGGTGTTCGCAAGGAGAGGCTACAACATCGAGTCACTCGCCGTGGGGCTCAACAAGGACAAGGCCCTCTTCACCATCGTCGTCTCAGGGACGGATAGGGTGCTCAAGCAAGTCATTGAGCAGCTCAATAAGCTCGTCAACGTCTTGAATGTCAGTCTGCCGTTCCACATTTTGCACCACTTTATTACTCCGTATATGGTTAGGAGGAGTAAATCATTCGGCTTTCATGCCACTTGGTTTCAACAGACTTCAAGATTTCACTGGCTTCAAAATTTTCTGTCAGCTCTAGCAATATACTACAGTATAAAGTGCTAATTTAGTCATAAACACCTTAGCCGTATTCTGCGGTAATACTCAATTCCATTATAATCACAGCTTCAATAGTCATTTCGATGTCAGAAAAAAGCTCTTTTTGTGACATTAGTCTTTAAACGTCTAACAAAAAAAACTCGACTGGTGGGGCTTTGCACTAAGAAGAATCTCTTCCTGGCCCGGTCAAGAAAAGGCCCTGAAGGCCGGCTGCCTGGACGCGCCACATGTGGGCCCTTAAACGTGTAATCAGTTGATAATTTTGCAACAAAAAGTGTAAGTTGAGAAATTTACTCTTATGTCTATACAGATGTGTCCTGGTTGTGTAGTGTGTTGTAAATTTTGTTTGTATGTAAGGAAATACAGTTACTTTGATCACTGCTGTACCTTGTCTTCAGTGATGTCGAGCATATATTCACATGGTAATAATCCAAGTAAGAAGCAGTTTGTATGTTTGGTAAAAATCACTGTGTTGCATGGAATCAGGAGTATTAAGTTGTTTCCATATAACCTTATCATAATTGTTATACTGAAGATGCTTAAAAAGAACGGACTCACAGATGGATTTTTTTTCCTGCCATTGTGCACATACAGCATATCCAAAGAAAACAGCTATTTTAACGAATCTAAGCTTATTTCATATCACCTTGCATAATTGTCTGTTGTCTGCTTATCGTTCCTACCATCTAGATGAATTAAATAGTGTGATGTGATGTTTTCCTTTTTATCCCAAGCATTGGTATGTTCCTGGTTTGCAGATTTCTTTTCTTATTGCATGTTGTTCTGTGATCATATAAATGTTTGTTAATATATATTGTATTTGAATCCAATAAATTGCAGGTTGAGGATCTATCTAAGGAGCCTCAGGTTGAAAGAGAGCTCATGCTTATAAAACTCAGTGTTGAACCAGATCAACGTGCTGATGTAAGATATGCTGTTGACTTGTATCTGCATAGTCACTGAATTAGTATATTGGTACTTCCATACACAGTTGCAACGATACTCTTAATGTGCTGTTTCTTCTCATGGTTGATAGGTCATGTTTGTAGCTAATGTTTTCAGAGCGAAAGTTGTTGATATTTCTGAGAACAGCCTAACTCTGGAGGTAAAAACTCTTGATCTCCAACAGTTCTGCATATAGTATATGTGTTCCTTGTTTTATGCTGGGTGAAGCCTTTGATACTTATTTGATCAATGCTGTAGGTAACTGGAGATCCTGGGAAAATCGTTGCGGCACAAAGGAACCTAAGCAAATTTGGGATCGAAGAAATTTGTCGAACGGGAAAAGTATTTTCTGAATCATTTGCTGCCTACATGCATGGGCATATTTTTCTGAATCATTTGCTGCCTACTTCCACGGGCATATTTTCTTCATTAACTAATTCTTATCTCCCAACGTTCTTAGATTGCTTTGAGGCGTGAAAAGATCGGAGCAACTGCTCGTTTCTGGGGGTTTTCTGCTGCTTCTTACCCAGACCTTGTAGAAGCATCGCGCAAAAATCCTCTTACCTCTGTGAATAAGACGGTTAATGGCAGTTTTGATCAACCATCCAGTGCCGGGGTATGTTTCTATGCTTATAAGAGTAACTCAATGTTTGTTGCCTATTTCTTCTTGTTGTTCTTGTCCTGTTACAACTGTTGTAAAAGGTGGCGTCTAGGCTTTAGCTTTTAGGACACTGCTGTTTGCAGATTAAATACTTGGTAACCTATGCTTGAGAGATGCCTCTTGTGTGTGGATGATGCAAGAAAGATTTTGAGGTGCAAGAAAAGAAAGATCTTGCGAACTGGTATATCTTAATAGTTATTTAATGCAAACAAATGCAACTAAACTTCTTTGCCACCAGTAGAAATCCCAGTGCAGCCATCGTTCCATAAGTGATTCTTTTTAGAGAAAAATTAGTTTGTATACCCGGTTATAGGAAATAAAAAAATAGATAGAAAAGTAGAGTTCATACAGTGAAACTGGGGAGACCTGCATTCATATAAAACTGAAGACCACACTCAGACTTTTAAATGTGCAACCGAAGTAACATAACCGAGTAGAATATTTCCAGACTTCCAGTAAACATATGAGATACATTATTACAGTATGTATGTCTATTGCTACTGATTCTTATAACATGTGGTTGTTTTGACTTTGAACTGTGCGTGCAGGGTGATGTTTATCCTGTGGAACCTTATGAGAGCTTGTCCATGAACCAAGTACTTGATGCCCATTGGGGTGTTCTTGATGATGAAGATGTAAGTTCAAAGAATTCCAGTTTTGCAAAAGAAACATCATTTGTTTTTTAATTAAATTGACCTATAGACTGCATGCACTGTTTATTCAAAGCTGGATCTAATTCTATTTTGACTGCAGTGTGTTCTCATTTTGCATCTTCATTCATTTTGCAAACAGTCAAATATAAATGAAGGCCTCTGTAGCTTTAAGCATCACAGTGCCTAATCGACATGATAATATGTGCTGTAGCAATGGTGCAGCTTCTAAGCTAATGATGACTTTGTTTGGTACAGTCAAGCGGGCTTCGCTCACATACTCTCTCCATCCTTGTGAATGATTGTCCTGGTGTCCTCAACATTATAACAGGGGTCTTTGCTCGCAGGGGATACAGTATACAGGTTTGTCAAAATTCTGTTTATTGTTGTTGTGTATGGGCCAGGCTTGTTATCAATGAGACCGTACTACTGCCCAGAGCCTTGCTGTTGGCCCAGCTGAAAAGGAAGGCATTTCACGTATTACAACAGTTGTTCCTGGAACTGATGAATCCATTGGGAAGTTAGTGCAGCAGCTTTACAAGCTTATCGATGTACATAAGGTAAATGACGTGCAATTTGTTAGATCAATCATTTGTGCTAGCAAATACTTCGGGCTAAAGCCAAACATGTGACCATCCCAGGTTGATGACTTAACTGACTTACCTTTTGCCGAAAGAGAACTGATGGTTATCAAAGTATCTGGAAACACAGCTGCTCGGAGGGAGATACTAGATATTGGTAATATCTTCCGGGCAGAATGTGTGGATCTTTCTGATCACACAGTTACGCTACAGGTGAGCTTCTTTCATAGTTAGGTATCTGTCTGTCTGATGTTTTTTCTAACACACCATGCCCTGATTTACTCTTTTATGGGAACAGTTGTTTGGTAGTAAACTAGAAACAGGATGAATTGTTGGCATAAAAAGATTGAACGTTTGACATGACTGCAACTATTTATTCCGCTATATGTAAGGCTATTTATTAATCACTGACAAAAACTCATGCATAATTATACCTTCTGATACTATGTAGCTCACTGGGGATCTTGACAAGATGGTTGCACTACAAAGACTGTTGGAGCCTTATGGCATATGTGAGGTATGTTGACTGTTTTTGCCTCTTCATTGTTGATTTCTTGTGAGTGGGAACAAGTAGTTCTAGATGAGCTTTTGATATTTTTCTTCCGTTTTGCTGTCTTATTGATGACGTGAAATAATGTCAATTTCATTCTTGTAAGTTGATTGTTATGTGATGGAATCTAAGTTTGCAAGTAATTTCTGTCCACATATTTGAGCACGCATTCTTACCATGATAAATGCTTGGTATTGTTTGTCAACCTACTCAGCAGTCAATTGGAGTTTATCAAAATAATTAATGGAAAACATCTCTAGATGTTAAGCTTTGTCTGCAGCCTGAGCTGAGGATTTCAGGGTACAATTGTAGGTCCCTGGAACAACTTCAAGGCGATTCTGTGTCAGTTAGAGAAAGAAGAACAGTAGTACATTCTATAAAAATAAACAATGGAAACATCTCTAGATGTT